TGACAAGAAAAAGGACTCTCGATTCAATTAGATTTAAGCTTGAATCAAAAGGAAATCCGCTCAAATTAAGAGGCTTGGTTCTTGATTTAAGCTTAAATCTGATTGAATCAAGAGTATTTTTTCTTGTCGATGTTTTTAAGAGTCTGGACTCTAGATCCAATGTGGTTTTTTTTTCCAGTGCACATAATGCAAAAAGGAACTATGCTGCCGTGCTAAACGTTGTATGAACCTTCAGGCGTTGCCAAATCTCCTTCGATAAAACACGAATTTCCTGGGAAACTTATGAATATTTTTTTTCCAATTTTTCAGATAATTTTGTTCGCAATTTCACCTGAGGGGCCTGAAAATTTCAAGGGAAATCAATAATAATGTTCCGCAAAAATAAACATTTCATCGAAGGAAATTTGGCAACTCTCGGATGTTCATACGGCGTTCTTCCTCGGCACGGTAGTAAGTGCAAACGAATCAAATGAAAAGAAATTGTTGAGCACGCAAATCCTCGGTACGTTGTTCCTTTAAATGTAATTAATTTGCACACACGGAGAGAATTAAATTGCTAAAAAAAATGACTGCGATATTTTGTCACCTTCCAGGCAAAATATCACAAGCGCCATGCGACGTTTAAAAATTTCACTGAATTTTCTTTGTGCTGCCGATAAAATTTAGTAAAATTTCCAAATAGATTCAACTAACAATTTCTCAGTAAAGAAATAAAATGGCGGCGGAAATTTTTAAACGTCGCATGGCGCTTGTGATACTTTGCCTGGAAGGTGACGATTTCAACGTAGATTTTACAACAAAAAAATGCTATTTTAACCAATATTGTAAGCTAATTTAACCACGGGGGTGGTTAAAATAGCATTTTTTTTGTTGTAAAATCTACATTGAAACATTGCAGTCACTTTTTTTAGCAATTGAATTGTTAAACCAACAATTTAATTTTTTCCGTGCATGCTTCTTTGTATCATAAATGAGTCTAGTTACGAAAAAAAACACCTCGGTTTTACGTGCCGATAAGTTCAGTAGGTGATTTTCAGTTCAAATGACTAAACGAGCAGTGATTTCCAGCCTCAGCGGAGGAGGTGGATGCGATACTTGACATTATAGATCGAAGGGCGGTCTCGGAGTCCCCTGGCGCCTTCCAGTTCAGCGGGACGCAACCCGCCCGGCCCCAAGTTCGGTCTGCCGACTCACTCACAGCCGCAGCCGGCACTAATTATTTTAACCCTCGAGGGGAAGCCAAGACTGAAACCGCGATTCATTCACAAACCGCCTCCTTCTCACTTCTCGTATCTTACTCCGCTAACTTCATTGATCGACCTCGCATTATCTGCCGGTCATCCTCCATTGGATATAAAATGACCTGCGTTGCCTCAACACTGCAAAATCCTAAAAATATGGAATTTTAGTGACTTCGCGGGTCTGATTATTGAGATTTATAGACAAGGTGATTGACAAAGAGTAAAATGGGGAAATAGAGCGATCGTATTCAGCCTGTCTATTGAAATTTCATTTTGGACCTTCTTGCGGAATACCTTTCTCAGTACTATTTCCGGACTACTATTTCCGATGCAAACTGCCTGAGCTGAACACTCTCCCCCCTCAGTTTCGTACTGGTGCGCATTAGAGTTCAAAAAATTGATTTTGACCCTAATTTTAATTTGTGTAACTTCTTGGCTTTGTTTTCCCCGCGAAATGGTGTGGACCCAGCACCATTTCTCCACCTTGTTACATACAGTTCTGGCAACTTCTTAGTGTTTTTTTTCCCTTCATTTCCGGACTAGTAAACACCCTGTGCATCTGTGCTTTTACCAGTATCCACGATATTTTTCAACTCATCAAGGCTACCGCTACAGGCCATGACGTGTTTATTCCCTTACTTTAACATGATTTGAACTTGCTAAAATCCCCGTGACAAAACACCGTGAGGACGACCAACACAATTGGGTAAATCGGTGAGCTGAAAACACCATTCATCACCTTTCGCAGATCACTTTTTCTCGGTCTCCGCCCGAAATTAACCGCGGACGTAAATTGCGTGCAACGGCGTAGCGAGCTTTGCGATACATCGATTGATCCGCCATTTAAACCTATGGAAAAGGATCGATAGACAGGGTGTTCGCAAAGAACGCTTTAATAATCGATTATTTACCATAGCTTCAAATGGGGAAATATCGATGACCGATTATTCACGCGAGATTCATTCGAGGACGCGCGGGACTAATTAGAGTCGATGACCTTTCTGAAACCTCACTTCGTTATTTTCGTCAGTCAGCAGTTCGTCCTGAATGTATTTTCGCACGCCTAACCCATTACTTTGAGGAAACGCATTTATTTTATCCACGTCTTTGCAATGCTGTCCTGGTTTACGACGAAAATTTCACGCTGCAGAGTGCAGAGGTTTCAACCTGTTCCGTGAAACTGCACAGATGAAAGTAGTTAGGTTAGGTCCTTATTTAGCCCCAACAAGGCCCTGAAGCCCCCCCCCCCCCCCCCCCCCCCCCNGGCGCCGTGCATCATAATATCTCTAAATACATTTTGGACAAAAAAGCACGAGTAAAAGTGATGCTGTGGAATCGCCCAGATAGGTTTTTTTTTTTATTTCATTTTTTTTTTTTTTGGAAAAACAGGGAAAACTAGACGACGTTCAGGCTTTTAGGGTGCTAAAGCTGCATCTCTCATAATTTTGAACATCGCACGGTGGATCGAGCCAATAGGAGAGGTCGGACAAAATTTGGAAACTTTAAACGCTTGTAACTCCGTTTATACAAAACTTTGAGATTTTAAAAGTGGCTCCATTGGTTTCCTCTAGACTGCTAGAAGCACCCCTTACGTTTAAAATGTGACGAAAAACATCAAAATTTGTAGTTTCGGTCAAAAATTTTATGTCCGACCGCTCCAACTGACTCGATCCATTGTGCATCGTCTCAACTCAAATATTTTTCCATTATAGTTACGTTCTTTCGTAAACGACAATGTGTGCTATAAGAATTTTCTGTCATCAAGTGTTAAAGTCAAAACCATATCAGCTGGCGACGAGGAATTTCACTGGTGATTTCGTATTTCAACCTACCCAGTTGCTTATGACGTTGAGAAAATGTTAATGGCAAGCGGAGAGAGATTTATGACAGTTCGATGAAGAGTTTTATTAGACGGTGTAAACTGATATCTACCGACTTACGAACCGATGAATAGGCGTGCATGCAGGTGCGATCAATCATTTAAAACTTCGGAAATATTTTATGAGCAAGTAATGGTTTGGTTCTGACAAGGCTGTCCATGTAGGAGGGACAAGTAGAAAGAGAAAAATAAGAGTTCAATGGTGAAATTCTTCTTTTTCTTCTTTTGATTGTAGTATTTTCTAGAGGCAAAATTACCATTTTTTAGGAGTGCATAAGTACCCAAGATAATGTGTCTCCACTTTCTTGATAAATTCTCTCCTGACAGAGAAAACTGCTTGAATTTGATGGGGAAAAAAATTGCTTTCATTGAACTGGTTTGCCCATAAATATTTATGGACACTCCAAAATTTAAGTGGTATACGTATGTTTTTAAATTTTTGAAAGCCGCTGGAAAAATCGCGTGTTAGCCGCGATATTCTGATGAAAAACGCGTATCTTTCATGTTTCTACAAAACCGCTGGAAAAATCGCGTAATTGCCGCGGTACTGAGGTGAAAATCGCGTATATTAACTGTTGTTTTTACAAAACCGCTAGAAAACTCGCGTACGTGCCGCAATATCGAGGTGAAATACGCGTAATGTTTAATGTTTTCACAAAACCACTGGAAAAATCGCGTGATTTTTGAATGATCACGGAATTTGCATGAATGTATATCAATGGTTTAACTTCCAAACCACTTATCTCATCTGCGGTATTTTAAAACCTCTGCTCGTATTTTATCTTTTTTGAAGAAGGAAAATTAAAATAATTTCTTTAAGATTTCACAGAATTTTCTTCGCTTATAGAAGAACAATTACAGGAGTTTATAAGATTTGCCATTGAGTAGTCTACTATTGAAAAAATAAAGTATGACATGACAGTAGGTCTGCAATGTCGCAAGCTTAGATACAAACTTTGGGACTTTCACCGTTGATGTTCCTCAATAGATCTGTTTGCATGCCTATAAAAAATGAACCCAACAAAGTCTTTGTTAGTCAGTAGAGCTAGGGAAAGAAAAGATTGGACGAAAGTCACATCAATCTGTATGAATCAATCATCAGTTGACCCATTGGTTAGCAGATGAATTTCTGTTGAGAGGTGCAATTTTCTGAAGTGAAATTTTCACATGGTCCAATCTTCTCTTTCCCCAGCTCTCCGTAGGTTGAGGGGACATTTTAGAGGCAAAGTGAATGAGTAAATGCGCAAGAGTTTCTTATTCCAGCCTCAATGCCAAACAATAAAATAAAACTTCCTACATCACTAGCTGGGGTGCATAAGTCAAGGTATGGCATTATTCTTGATATTACTACACCTGATGGTTGCGGTGGCGCTTCAAAATTCCATGTGTAACTAAAATTACACATTGAGCCTAAGGTCTGCTTGGTACAGCCCCTTTATTCCTTTAAGAGGCTGTGACATAGCAAAATGTACAATTAACTAGATGCAATCTCCAGCGAAGAGTTTAACGCTGTAAACCCATTGGCCTGGTACCATTAATCAAAATCTGTAAACGTTTCATTTAGAAACTGAGAGATCAAAAAATTAATGCCTCCACCATGAAATGCCACCATGTGCTATTTACAAAAGTCACTGAGACTGTTCCAGATAAATTGTAGAACCATCCATTGTTTTCCACAAATTTTTCGGAAACCTGCTAGTTAAGTAGTACCCGTGCTGTCTTTTGCGATTACGCTCGCTATGAGAACGAAGACAAGGGCTCCTTTCTCACAGATTCTACGAGACAGATTGCAAAGTATCGAGGTGTTTATTAGGTTAGAATTAAAACGATGCGTGAAGGTGAGAAAATAAATTATTTATCAGTGAAGTGTGAAAGCTTACCGAACGGCCACTCGTACGCTGGACTCATCCTCACCCATGATATCATCTACTTTTAGTTTCCACGGGAAGAACTAACATCACAATTCACACACAAAAACAGGCCTTCGTGACGGTAGTCGTTAATTACATCGTAATAACACTGCACGAATTATCACGCGTTGAAAAATTCGTTCGGTCCACTAACTAAAATTAAAATTACTGATGAAAACGACCAGGCTATACCGTGTTTCAGCGGTCCGGAAATACACATCGGAAAGCACTAGCCCTCGGAAAATTCGCGATTAACTAATTAAAGGAGGGAGATAATAGCATCACACGAAAAGATAAGATAAATACGGCAAAAAAGGGATAAAATCGTTAAAATACAGAAGAAAATGCGATCAGACTCCTCTTCCTTCGGATGTAAACAGTTGATAACTGAGAACTGAGCTTGAGGGGTGGGTAAAAAGAGAAACTGAACACCTGAGCTGAGTCGACAGTGCTGCTCTCTAGTGAGCGTTATTGAATGTTATCAAGGTGGTATCCTCAGAATTTGAAGGCATTTTAACATTTGATTGTAAAACCCGATGGCCAAAGTGCGCACTGCGCACCCTTCTTCAAGGTGGTGTTTTAAAATTTCCCCTTATAATTTTTTTTTTTTTTTTTTTTTAAGAGAAAAAAGCCATCTTTATACATCGAAATTTACTCAGAATATTCTGCTAACGGAGAGGAATAATCAAGGAAGTTTTCAAGAAATTACGATGACTAGTTTTCCAAAGGAAAAATGATAGGAAGTTTGCAACATCGCAAGTAGAGATTCGTAGTTCCGCACTTTATCCATCGAATTGTCTTCACCCCGCACGCGATGCAAGGTTGCAAAAAAAGTAGGTTTCCTTAGATCCTCGTACCTTTGCGCTAAATTGTAGAGTAGCCAATTATAAATTGGAAAAAATTCATCTACAATATTTCCGAGTGGAAACAGTCTTGTAAATTGATCTACTTCCAATTCGTACCCAACTAAATAAATTGTTTTGCATGAGGAAGTAATAATTCATTGCAATGTTTCAAAATTACAGCCACATTATTTTTGAATGTACCTACGGGCGACTAGGTATACGAAGAGACGAAATTGAGAATATTCTTCCTCCAACCAACCAAATACAGTAAAATTCTGGGGAAGATTTTCTTGGTTATCCGTCCATGCAAAAATAGATCGTCCGTGGCAATTTTGAAATGTAACAATGAACTTGGGCTCTAACAAAAATAATTGATTCAATTTCAAAAAATTCATCTCTTCGGTGATATAAAACTTCCTATTTCCCAATATTCCAAAATGCCTTCTCTTGCTTAAGGTTTTTCTCATTAAGGTTTTCTTTGGGGGGATTCTCTCTTGTCTTATTGACTGTAATTTCTGTTGGACATTTTCAGAGATGATGCAAAATTCAACAAGTTTCGAATGATCGGTTTGCATTTTTGAAAATAAAAAATGACACAAGTGTGCCATCTTATTCTGAAGCATGGTGTTGTTGCCTGGGTTGCCTTTTTGCAAGTTATGAAGCCCAACAAAAAAAAAAAGCTCTCGAAGCAAAGTTCGACTGGCTTGTTCTATTCGAAATTTAAAGCTCCAAAAAGAGCATTTGTATGCAGTACATACAGAGATTTTAGGGTCTAGTTTTACATTTGCTTGCACGGAACTTGAAGAAAAAGTGTCTTTCCCTTGGTCCCAAATAGATGTTTGGTTTGTTCTTTTTCTGCAACTAGCAACTGAATATTTGGCTGCATTTAAATTTTAAAGGAGGCACCGTTCAAAATTATAATCAGAATGATTTAAAGGAAAACGGATAGGTCTCACCAATATGAGAACAAGTTGGACCGCATATTTCATCAAACAATTTATTTGTTTACGTAAGAACAGTAGTACGGATACTTTTGAAAATTTCAGGAACTTTACTTCATGTCACAGAGAAAATCTCTTGAAATTTGCAAAATAATCTACACTACTGTTTTTCTGTGCAAGATAAAATCATCCAATGAAAATAGGCAACGGCAAATGTGACTTAGGTTCCTTCCTCCTGAACGCAGTTAACTTGATCCACACTTATTGACATAGTTCACGTTTAGAAGGTCAATTTAGAAGAGAAGAAGATAAAATCATAAAACATCAAATCATTACATGAAACAATGAGTATAATTCAAAATAATGACATACAATGAATGAATACTTCACATTGATGAACAAATTTCTACAAAAAATAAAATGGGAAAAAAATACTCTACTCTTCTGGTGCTTCGATAGTGAATTGGGCTTCACTAGACTAAATGGATCTGTCCGCAAAGTGTCTTGAAAAACAACCTACAGCCCATTAGAGAGCTGTCTTCAAAACTCTTTCTGAAAAAAAGAAGGGATCTTTTCCTCTTTCGTTTAGTAAAGCCCAATGGATCAAAATACCATTATCAAGTTGGAATTGTTAGGTACGAATACAATAAAAAATTAAAAATGAGAATAATAGTATCGGAACATCAAATTTTCTAAACAAACCTAGACGTTTAAATGGAAGAATTACAGGTTTACCTAATAACATTTTCAGTTTCGGATTTCATGTGCTTGACAAAAATAAGGGGTGGCAAAATCTAATACAAAACTAAGAATTGCACCAAAAATAGTACCTACTAATGTGTAGATTCACAGGGTGAGCCGAAAGTCCTGCATCACCCCTAAAACCCCTATGGTTCTTGCCCCTTTTCAGGGTGGTCCTTTAAGTTTAGGGGTTTCCAAACGTCGTTTCTCTTGACCTAAGAACACTCATGAAATTTCAAATTCCTATCTCGATTAGTTCAAAAGTTATGACAGGGGTGCTAATAGCATGGGACTTTCGGATCACTCTGTGTAGGCATTGACTGTGATAGATACGAAATAAATGGGGCAGTAATAATGCAGGAAAATGATCCTCATGATAATAAGTAGATAAAACTGAGCTAAGCTTAAGAAGTCAAACGCGTGAATAATTTTAAGCAATACTACTTCAGCATGATAATACCAATTGTAAGAATGTAGTTTCAGATCTCTTAAAATAAATGAAACTATGTTAATGACTACAGAAAGTTTTCTTGTGGATTTTACGCAAGTTATTCAATTAAAACCTTTCGAATACTGTGTGAAAAAAAGAGCCATTGTTAAAGCAACAACAGTGCACAACCCCAGTCTCTCGCGTTCATGCACTTTCTGTTTCTGCCAAAACTTTAACTTGGTATTTTTATTTCAGCGGTTCCCTAAATCTCAACTCTTATTTTGTGTAACGGGTTATTGCAACAAACGCAACAGCAACGCAGGCAGAGAAAGGGTCCTACAGAGATTGCTATTGATGCATCAGAACAGAAAAACAGGGTGTCAAAGATGGTCAACATTTCTGTGGAAATTCACATTTTTGAAATCAATACTCAAGTTCCTAGAGGATGATATAGATGGTCGACCAGACGTAAACACTTTTAGAATTAGATAAATGTTCTAATGGCAGAATCTAACGCTCACTTGTGACGACTGATAAAACTTAAAATGACTAGATATACGAATGAACTATAAGTTTCAGTGCAAGAAGAAAATTGAAAATGATAGAGTGAATGTAAAGACTTTAAGAGAAGATTTGTGATCGTGCAAATTGATGATCACACTGAAAATATTAAATAGGAAAAAATAAAAAGATGCTAATATATTATGAACTCTGTGGAATAAAAAGACACACACTTTGACTAAAACGTTAAAGATTGCTTCAATCCCAGCCCTAGTAGGTCTAATTACTGATATTTAGAAAAAGAAAATGTATGATAAATGTAATGATAAAGCAACCAACAAAATATAGACAAAATCAGTAAAGCAGCTTGAATCTGCTGATCAAGCTGCTTTACTGGTGCGATCAAGTGTGATTCCTATGAATTAACTAACCGACCAGTTCATCGATGAAATGCAATGTCTTGACATGATCGCACTGGAACTACTCTATACATGAATTATTATTATTTTAATGACAGTGAAAGTAATAACATTAAAAAATTGGATTAAAAGAAGAAAAAGAATGATGATACAATTTTAAGTAGGATTTAGAATTAAAAAATAATTACGACCTCAATAATCACACGAGTTCATACGAAAGGAAATGCATATAGATGGCTAAATATGAAAAGAGCACATTCCAATTGCAACATTTGAAAATCTTCGATTATGTTTTATTTATTTTTTTTTTTATTTTTTTATTTTTTTTTTTTTTTTTGTAAGAAAACGAATCAGAACTGTTCCTTGCAATTTTGTGTAAATTTTTGTTTTAATAAAAGAGGATAATTCACAAAAAACTTTAAAGCGAACTGTTGAATGGTTTCCCATTAAAAGAATACAACATGAGCGGAGACTTACAAAGTTCCAATCTGAGTGCTCTGTTTTCAACTTTAGCCATTGGTATTATAGATTCATTCAATAGACAGCCTGTACTTTTGTCATTCTCTTCAAAATATGGCGTGCTAAGAGCTTGCACCTCTGCTTAAGACTGACCACTTTTGATCTATTAATAGATACACACAAATGGAAAAAAGAAATAAAAATGCATTTTCTAACAAGATACTCGATAAACCCATAAAATAAGAATATGACACAAAAATAACTTTGATTTCATAAAATAATATGCAAAACTATAAGGAGTTATATAAAAGGTTTCTACATTTCAGTGGGACTAACGATTAAAGAATATTTAGTGAAAATAAAACTAAGACAAAAAAATTTCTTTTGAGCCGACAGAACAAGTCAAATTTGAAAAATTAAACGAAATTAAAAATTCATAGCTTTCGCAAAAAAAAAAAAAAAAGAAAATATAAATGAATAATAAAAATGACTTGATGTCACAAATAGAAATAAAATTTTGTGACTCAAAATTCTAATGCAAATCGTAACTGATTCTAAGAAACCAGAAGTAAGCTTCCTTTTTTAAAGTTATATTGACCAGTAGAAAATAAAACAAAAATTTGCACTACCTGGATAGATCTTTGAATATCACCGGTATTAATAGAACCCGCTTACAAATAGAACGGTCAGTTATCTTGATTTTAACTAACGCAGGCAACAATAGTTACCAAAAAGGAAAAAAAATATTTGAAATAAAATTATGAATGAACAAGACCAAAGCATAATGATAAGAATTACTAACAAGCTCACAAACAAGGTAGCCTGGAAAATTATCACGATACGTTCACTTAGACTGCACCTTTTATCATCCTACAATGAACCATTCTAATTCATTCTTGTTAAGAGAATAAATTCGAAAGCTTGCACCTAAAAGAACAGGCATACCAATGGAGCAAATTTTCACTACTCGATAGAAGTCTTTTCACTATAGTAATAAAACTTAATTAGAAAAATTGGAAGTCATGGATTAGTTCAGATGAGCTCTGAAAAAGACATGAAAGGGAACTTCGGAAGACAAAACATTCATAGAAGAATAAAAGAAACGAACTGCAAAAACATAACATCTGAAAAGGATAACATCAAAAGATATTTTCAGTTCTCTTCAAAGACATAAGAATTTCTACAGTTAGCTAATAAAGTTGAGCTCTCAGCACCTAGAATCTCATTGAACAAATTGTGTGAGTATCTATGCGTTACCACAACTCTTCTGATAAAACATTTTGTTCTGTTTTTTGTTTTCTTTTCAAAGTTGATTATTATTTGAGATTGTTCCAGCTTTAAAAAAATGGAAATATACACATCAATGATTAAGATTATAAGATTAAAATACTTTCTTCTTTTATTTTATGTTAAAGGTGCCCACTACCAGTCATTGGGATTTTCCCTCATGGTTCCGACAAGTTTAAAAAATATTGAAAAACGATACAAATAGAACAATAGGAGCAGAAAAACTAAGAATCATTTTTGATTTGATGAGGGATATTATGGAAAAGCATTACAGAGAAAATTGGTGTATAAAAAATGTCTTCCCTGTAGAGTTAATTGTACTTGGTCAAAGACTCAGTGTCTCACAGCAAGGACTTGGATATTCAAACTTAAGCATACAATTTTAAGGATGAAATACTCTAAAGTCAAACAATCATTCTTTGGAAACCTTCTTACTTAATGAAATTCAGGTAAATTATGATCACACCTCATTTTCGGACGAGTGCCAGACTTTTTAGAACAAAATACAATGCACCTTCTCTTGCAATTTCTCTCTTTTATCGAGCAAAAAACAAAACAACAAAAAAATCTTGTAAAACATCAGACTTCAATGTCTCAATGTCTACCAGCAAGTGCATTACTTTCATCACCTATACCTAAACCTATGTTCAAAAATTATCATTATTTCTCATAACATAGAGATAACAATGTTGATGAAAAAACTAATAATTGTTAAACGGGTATTAGTTAAAATGAAAGTTTTGCTACAAAAATTAACGGAAGTTTACCTTGAATAAAGTGTGTTCTACAAACATTTCATCTCACATTGTTCAGGTGTGAGATTAAAAAGACGTGAACCAAATCGAGTCTCTGCTAACCATAAAAACCTTCAAAGAGAATTTATTTTATACATACGGTTTTAAAAGATTTCACTTGGAAAAATAAACCTCTATTGAAATTAGTTGTCAACTCTATATCGATCAATGACTCGATAAAACCTTTCCAATCGCTCGCAATCTAAAAATTGAAAATACATATCACAAAGTTTTACAGTCTTCTAATTCTACGCATCATATTGTAAAAGGTAACGACAGTGTCAGTGAATATTCTTCCGTAAAACTGGATTCCTTAATACCAAAGCGCTTTCCGCAGATATAATTGGAAGTTTGTTTTGACAGTGATAATTTATTAGATGGCTCACACTTTCGAACATTTTGTCTTTCGTTCGCACCTGAAATGAGAAAGAGTATAGATGAGAATGAATTTTGAAAAGAAAGGATTGAGCTATGCAGGACCAATGAAGTTTCTTCACAAAAACATTTTGCAATAATTCAAAAGGCGAAGCAGGCAAGATCGTCTACCAGGAAATAAGCTGGCATAGTATGTATTATGCGGAGTTTGAAATACTGAGGTATTAAGATGTCACCTGATGGAATGGACAAAATTTCAGGTCTTTCAAAACTGCTTCTCTGGAGATTTTTTCTGGCAGAATGAAGGGTAAAATTATTTAGAAATAAAGATTTCCAAGAAACTTACACAAAATATCTAAAAAATGTGATAAGCAAAAAGAGAGGCTGATAAGCTGGAAAAATAGAGTTGAATGGTTATCAGCTGAATGGGTAAAGATAAAAAAAATAAAGAACAAGATTTCAAAACAAAAAGCGTTTTACAATCGGAACAAATTACAACTCCTGGAGAAAAATTATGATAATTTTCATTGAAAAAGTTCATTTTATCTTTGCAAGAAGTAGGAATCAAAGTATAAACTTTCATGTTTCAAAGAGCTGGAACGATTTCCAGTTTATTCCAGAGACAAGGGACTTTCCCTAAAACATTCCCAACAAAATTTTCCTTTCCTGCGCAACTCAATGGGAAAGTAGATGCGCAATTCAAATTCATGTGATGAACAAAGATCGGAACATTCTCATTCCTAGCAATTGTTACATTCTAGGGAAAGGTTGAGCCTTTTCCAGGAGTTAATGACCCATTTGACTAAGTTTTTTGGATTGTCTACAAGGCATCATGATTTGGACTAGTTTTCCGAAACTTTTTCTAAAAATTAAGCATCTCCAATAGAAACTTCAAAATACACTGAAAAATTATGAAACTCACCACTCCTTCAGGATCAATCAGTAATAAATGCTTCTTGACTCCACCCTGTAAGCCTGTTAAAACGTACTGACCATCGGAGCCTTGAGATTCTCGAACAAGAAAATCTCCATCCTTAACAGAAAAGAAAATTACATTGTTAATCAGTGCTGTAAAAATGGACAGTTATTGAGAACAGAACTCAGCCTCAAGGGCCGAGATAATAATGGGCCACTAGACAAGAAACCAAACGTTACAATACATATTTTCAATTAGAGGCTCTATGTAGATCATCGCAAATACATTGAAAATTTAACAACTTAAGGTGATTGAAAGTGATTTAGAGGCAAGATTTGCAACTACTTTGCGCTGCTTCATTGTTTGTGTCTTTGAAAGGCAATGATTATCGTTATGCACGAATTACTTTGGGAAACTGACCCATAACGTGTAGCAGCATAAATATTGAGTAGAATAAAATATGAATTTGTGAAAATTCGTTTAAAATTTTCAGCGGAATCTGCAAAATGACCCATTTGACTCAATGAGTAAGAGCGAGAGTTTTAGAATATATCTCTCTTACTCTCTACTAAACGTAGAGAAAAATTAAGAAGTACCTGCTGTAAAAGCTTTTCTGCTTGTTGCCTGCTGATGTTTCCATGGAACCAGGATTCATCTTGAAGACGTGTATTTGTGTTTACTACTTCTGTGCTCACAAATGGTTCTGGAAAAAAGGTAGAAATTCCCTTCATGAATTGATCCTTGCATAGAGTGGAGGGTGGAGGAATGCAATACATAAGAAAATAAACTTATACAGTAAATAAAGACATGAATTAAAGTAAATAAAAAAGCTTCATCTTGATTGATTAATAGGGTAGTGCAAAAAGTTACGGTACATTGAGTATTTCATTCCATCCAAAGTTTTTTTTATCGATACTCTTTTCCAAGAATATCCTCAATTCCTCAACATGATGATCTTGTTTTTCCCATCAAAGTTTCCATATTGACCTAGCCACTCCCATCTACCTGTTCCAGACATACCTATTAAGCATTCTTCAAAAAAACCATTAGAATTCCCATGTGTTTGAAACCCTTCTTTTACATAACAGTTCATTCTTAAATTTTTGCAAATTCCTTTTGGTGTCACTATCTTAATTAAATAGGCTTTTTACAAGAGGGCGTAACTACATGTATTGCATCATTTTGATGATAAAAACGACGGATTATTTTCGTATGGAGGCACAGCTAAGACAATTTCCCAGGGAAAAAGGGTGGTATCCCTTGGTGATTAAAAACATAAGATTTCTTGAGAGATTTTATGGGTGGTCCATTTGGACAAAAATGGACTGTCCGTGAAAAATGTGAAAAGTTTACACCCTCATGCACAAAATCCGTTCTACTATTTCTGCATTTCCTCTGACGCCATGAGTCACATTGACATTGAGGAACAAATATCTCAAATTTTGGCATGTATTGTACTTTCATCTGTTGATATCATTGGGGGTTTTGTCCTTAAGTTAAAAATCATTTTTGCAGATGGTTCATGTACTCACGCATATCAAATACATCTCTTGGTTGAGATGGGTCTGATCCAACCATGATATCGTTGACGTAATCATGAGCTCGAGGGATTGGAGGAGGGGGCGCTACCTCACAATTCAGATCGATTAAATTAGTTGATGGTAAACGTTCTGAAAAAAATAAAAAAGTACACAATTGATTAAACTGAAATTTTCAAAGAATTGTTTCCCTCTACTAATATCTATTTATTTAGAAATAGGATATAGATACACATTTTATATACATTTTTCTCTTCAAAATTTTGATTCTGCGATTCGCATGTTGACACTTAATGTGTTCTGAATCTTGAAAAGGGAGCTTATACAGGAAGGACATAATAAGTTGCGGAATGAAAGTTTCCTTGGGAAAAATCAATGAATATTGAATATAGAATTACTACCCAGGATACTTCAATTAAAAAGAACGTGGAACACTGCTCTACAAAGGATTTTCCATCTGCCTTCCAGTTTCAGAGAATAATAATGAAGTTGCATGATATACTCAATGAAAAATGATATTGCAAAAATTATGATGCACCTCATGAATTGTTACAGTCATACCCTGATTATCCAATGCTTCAGTATATGATGTGATCAAAATTTAATTGTTGGTCAATTAATAACAAGCCGGCTCAAAAAAAAAATTGAATGTAAATGTGTTTTCTTTTTCAGTTAAATGACTGTTTGTTGGATAATGGACCACTAGACAAGGTACGAATTTCAGCATTCTAATTCATGTTTCTTAACTAAAATTTCACGTAAAATACGACGCACACAACGAAAATTAACGGAATCGACTCCTTCCAAAGATATTTAATGATTCTTGATGCGTGGATTCAAACCACCTGCTCATGAAAACTCAATGCTCTGCGTGATTCACATCGTGCGCTAAACGTTATCATGACAGTCTCAGCAATATAAAAATCTGGCAACCTCAATCTTGACGCTTTGGCTCAGCTGTAGAGAATTGCTTATAGTTTGAACAACACATGGTGGGAAATGAACATTACTCGGTTGAGAAGCTTATTGAAACTGTTGTAGTGCGCGATTTGACTCACATAGAGCTATGAGTTTCTTGTGAGCGGGCAGTTCAAGTTCCTCGTAACCAATGTGAAATAAAAACGTTAATATCTTCGTTTGGAGTTTGTTTCATTAGTTTTCGTTGCGTGAATCGTGCTCTACGTGAAATTCTGGTTGAGAAACATGTATCAGAATGCTGAAATTTGTACCTTGTCTAGTGGTCCATTAGAGTATTAATGATTGTTCTTTTACATGGAATTACAGTATGTAACGCAGGACAGAACCTGGATATTTTTAAATCATACCTCTGGGAGCGACAGTTGTGTTGACATTGGGTAAGGGAGGTACCGGAGGAGGTCCAACATCTGGCGGCACTTTCCCGGGTAAATCGTTGTAATATTCTCGATCATCAGGGGGAAGGCTGAAAACAAGATAAAAAAAAAATCAATATATTAAGAAATCTATTTACAGAATTAATTCATAATAAACGAGATGCTAATGATTTCTACATGTGGAGAGATGCTTTTATGAGGGTACCCATGAACATGGATTTTTCAGACTAACTCCGATCAAGGCGTAGATACACACGACGATTAATCGCCACGAGTGAAAGACGAAAGCCAATGAAGAGCCTTGATTTCAATAAATCAACGTCAATGGATCGAAATCAAGGCTCTTCATTGGCTTTCGTCTTTCACTCGCGGAGATTAATCGCCGTGTGTATCTAGGCTTTTAAATGAGGCATGACTCATAGCTAGAATTCTTTCTGTCTGATGATTTCTATGAGTTAGTGGAAGACTCCAAGCACAGTTGATACTAATGATGATGGAAGCTTGAGGCTGCCGACCTTGTTTGATCACTGTTTCAAAGAAAAAGGTAAAATTGGGGTTACTGAATGGGGCTTGCGATTTGAGAAATTATATTATACCGAGTTAAAAGAGTGATAAAGGGTGTCTGAGTTTATTTTAGAGACTAAAAGATAATATCACACGTAATTTGGTATCGAAAGAAGAAAGATTTCCACAAAGATAACAGATTAGAGGACATTTTTACTTACGGTGAAGATTTAGGTTTTGTCAGAAACTGCTTGAAGCGTAGTTCGAACGCTTGTCCGATTGTCGTGATCACATCTTGAGCGAGTCCTCCGCCACATTCTAAAACGTAGCACGCTCGCCAATCTTGCAGATCTTTCGCTATATAGGCTACAAAATCTAATGTATCCTGAAATTTAAAGATCTCAACATTAAACAGAAGAATGTGAAATTATTGATATCACAGAAACTCCTCACATAACAGAGCCAAAACAGATTTATCCGTTTCTTTTTTTTTTTCTTTTTGTGTGCAATCTCAAAAATGTAGGACAGTGATGAATGGGATTTTTGAAGAAAAATGAAGCAGAAAATTTGCTCAATTTTCTTACTTTACTTGTACATAATTTTAAAATGGGTGGCTTACTGAATAATCTGACTTTTTCCAAAAAATAAAAGAAAAAAAAACATAAAGGACCACACTTAATTGAATTTTCAGGAAATTCTACAAGAGAAAAAATTACTAGTGCATAAACGTCAACATCAATTATGAGATTCGCAGGGACTACAAAATCCTAACATTTTGTTAAATTTCTTGAATAACTAATTGACCAACCATCGGTTTATAGAATTTTTGCTGTTATGCAAGATCAATGAAAGACAAAAATGTAAAAACAAGGAGAACTGAAAGTAATTACCGAATCTCCTCCTGAAGCAAATGAAATCCTGGGCATATCATGAGTGGCCACCAACTGGCCAAATTCTAGGGTTTTCAGTGACAGACATGTTGCTGAAATTGAGAGCTTGACATTGGCACCAGCGTGTTCCATTATCGGGGTTTCGCCGATAGCACGTTGAACCTTCTTGTCAACCTAAAATCGGAATTAAAATATGCAACTTGTGGACTAGTTATGAGACGAGAAAACAAATACACGGTGATCCTAAAGCTCCGGAACAGCTCTATAACCCATAAGATTCTTGACCCTTTTCAGGAGGATTCCTTAAAAAATTTGAGGGGTCCCAAAATTCGTTTTCTTTGACCTTGGAGCACTCACAAGATTTTCGTCAAATGGATAAAAAATTAACGGCTACTTAAACTTCAAAATCACCTCCTTCCATGGAAAATTTTTAAAATGACTGCCAAAATATATTTCCAATACTTACTTGAGAATTATAGTGAAATCAGCAAATTTCCTCTGAAGCGAGAAGAAAATCCGCTAAAATCTCAGGACAAATTTATGCCATGATTCTCAGTCATTACATAGCAGGGGAGGGATGGAAAAAAATTTTAGAGACAGAGGTTTGCAGTAACTTACCTTCCTCTTCTTGTCCACTGTTTTGAGACCAGCAGCTTCACAAACTCGGTTAATGCATTCTCTGGAAAAAAAAGCGAGGAGCATAATGATGAATAAGCAGAGAAAGAGAGAGCGCAAGGAGAAAATAGACTCAAAAAACTAAGATAAAAAACTACCCAGATGCGAAATTTTCATAAATGTTTGAGTGTTTCATTTAGTTAGACAAAAGCCCACTGGGACGCATTTTGGAAAAAAATGATTTAGGAGAAGTTATAAATTCAACTATGTATTTGTAAATTTTCTCCTGTTCAAAATTTGAAGTTCAGAAAAAATACTGTGAGCATGGAAAAAAGTCTTATTTGGTCCGTAACCTTGAGTCTTATGGAGGAATAAAAGTAAAATGACTATGTAAAAAAAAGAAAGCCCTCAATTCAGTCACTACGGGTGAAAAGATTCTTCAAAAACCTTCAGACAAGGAAAATGTATTCCCTGAATGAATGAAAGAAAAACTAAAGTATTGATATGAAAAGAAAGAAAAAAAAGGTACAACATTGATTGGTTGATTGCTTTAATTTGTTGCTTATCATGAAATCAGCACAATATCGACAGTCTTTCTGTAAAAATTTTTATGTCGCATAGTCAGCTTCTCATTGAAAACAATCTTACTCTTCACTTCTGATTTTGGTCTAACTCTAAAAAATTTGGGCTTGGAGAGGCCCTTTTAGCTATTTGATTCTCAGTACTAAGGCTCGAGATGCTGAATTGAAGACACTGTCTATTGTCTTGTGGATGGGTTGGAGCTAGGTTCAGGTTTGACTGCTTAGCTCTGATTTAAAAGGACAAATGTTACAATGCTGACTGTTTCATTGACTTCATTCTAGGATTTTCTTAAACTTAGGTCAGATGATGAAATGAAAATTGCAAGAGAGTTGGGCTGAAATGACACTGACGCTACACTTACTTGGCAACTTGGAACCTTGTGTCAAAATCAAGACTTTTCATTGATGTGAAAACTTCTAGACAGCCAATATACTGGAGTAAAAAAAAAAAAAAAACAATCCATTAAAATTCAAAATAATCCAGTTAGGTAGTAACTGTTCATTGAAACAGCAATTGCTGCCAAAATAGATAGAAAAATCAGATTTTTATTAAAGAAGCAATGAATTATAAAAGTCATGTCTCAGATGATGACCAGCTACTTAGGTAAGGGCTAAATGCATCAGGTAGGAAAGGAAATTTTGTTTGCGGACTGGTGAGTATTTGTTTCATATTGTAGTGAAGTTTTGAGAATTTTAGGGCATATTCATACCAAATGATGGCAAGAGTTTGTACTTATTGCTTCTTTTGTTTTGAGTTTCAAGTATCATTTTCAAATTTGAACTTGATAGCACATTTTTTTTTTTTTTTTTTAAGGTTTGCCCGACTCTATCGGCTTTAAATGTCTAAAATGCTCTTTTTGGGGGTTTTAAGAGCCCCTAAAAAAAGAAGAGTCTCAATAAAAGGAAGTCCTAGAAAAATCAGAACTTCAAAAGTCCAGGATTTTTCTGGGCCCTAACAACCGCATATTCAACTTGATAAAATGAAGATAAATTTTTAAAAAAATGAGCAAAGGCTAAGATAGATGTAAGAAAATGTTGGGTAAAAAAAGTGACATGTTGCTTTAGTAGATAGTCAGAGCTAGAACCTTTAGAAAACTAGGGGGTACCTTCGTCCCGGAGAAGGAACCACTCATTTTCCTACGAAAATATTTCCTTTCAAGCTCTTTTTATCAATTGGTCAGGCTTGACAAGGGGAAGGATGTAAGGATTTATTGGCCATCGAGGTGGAATGGGTATAAATGGCCCAATCACCCAACCCTCATTCTTAGAGATTGTACAGAGAGAGAAGAGGATATTCAAACTGATTCTGACAGTTTTCATTATTTGTTTTAGATGAGCCAAAAAAAACTGATTTCTGGTGTCTTCACTTTTGAATGAATTAAAATTGTTTGTGTTCAAAGGTAGATTAGATATGCGTACATTTTAAACTTCATTGCACAACTCATAGGAATGCTACCAATTCAATAAAATGAAAACATCAGTTCTTTATTCCAGCTTACTGTGATAACATACTGATTGTTGACATTGAATTGTTATCAACGACTTGATGATAGATAAAATAAGTATGCCCCTAAATAATTCTTTGTAGTTATTTTCAGACAAGGTGGTAAAATAGAGCTGGGTCCACACAATTTCGCAGGGAAAACAAGGCCAAAAATTTTAAAATTTCAATTACGAGTAGAACATTTTGAGCTCTAATGTAACTGAGGGAGGAAGGCGAGACGTTTGGGTCTTTTTTATCACCTTTTTACATACACTTTGTGCCATGTTTCTTGATGTTTTTTTCTCGTTATTTTCAGATTTAGTACAGACCCCCCAGCACTGAAAACTGGGAGGTACTTAGCATTTTGCACAATTGACTTTCAGACTTCAAAAGCCCAATTCACACTATCAAACTTTTCATCCGACATAATTGAACGAAAATTTTGATGAAAAGTTGGACGCAAAAAATTTGATTCAATTACCGTTGCAGTATGGTATCGTCATCAGTCTGCGGTTTGCGAAGATACAGCTTCAGCTCATGTCAACCGGAAGATTACATTCAACTTTCCATCCGATTGGCGCTGCCAATTTTTCATCAAATTGTCGTTTTTTCTCGTCAGAATCACATTATCCAACTTTTCATTCGACAAGTTGCATCCAAGAGTTGGATGTAAAGTTTGATAGTGTGAATTGGGCTTTAGGAGTCCCAACATCGGGAGATCATGGTAACAACGGATCCATACAACTGGCATACTGAGGTAGCCCAAAGGAGCCGAATGTAAAGATATTAGACTGTACTTAAGATAATATATGATTTAAATATATACTCGTGTAAACGTTGCTAAAAAACTGCAAGCATCGCACTATGCAGTAATTTACTTACCCTCACAGCATATGTCACTCCTTTTTTGGAGACGAGAGTATCAGGATGTAACCAGCCACGAGCCGGTTTAACCATTAGATTACCAGAACTACCAGCTGCAGCCATCACAGGAGAGGGATGTGGCATTCTAAACAAACAATACACTGCGATGTATTAAACGTCGGAAAATTTGTTTACGCTTTAAGGGTAACGCCAATTTTAGGTCACAGAGAAATAGGCTAATGAATCACCAATGAACACTTCTGGGACATTCACTTCAAGAGATACATACAGCATAGAAATTTAGCAGAATTGCTCAGAAAGGCTGGCACTAATACAAAAGTAGGACAATTGGATTTGTTCTTGCTTAACTGATTCATCTTCACTTATCTAATAAGTATAACTCAAAGACTCTGCCATGAGAGTGAAATTGGAATGTAGACAAGAGCAGATGGGAAAAGGCAGATGCAACGATAACAATAGAACAAAGATCGGTTGAATTATAAAAAAGGTGAATCATAAAGTACCTGGGATCATCTAATTAAGGATAATGAGTAGAAGGAACTCATGACTATGACTAATGATGGAAACACGTCAAGATTTCATTCCATTATCACGTCGTTGATAACATGAGGAAACGACGATTCCAATCATTCAGAGCTGAACGGGTGCAGAGCGATTCGGAGAAATAACACCAGAACTAAAACACTTCAGCTCGAAACAAATTATTCGTCGGTAGCACTCCAAATTCCACGATTTATGGAAAAATTGAGACAGAATTTCGACAATTTAAACGGATGTTTGTTGACTTTTTCTTTTCTCATTTCTCTCTTGCGCAAACTCATCACTTATCAGTGACGTCATTGTTAACGTCAACGTTGGCTTTCCTGATGGCGCGTATTTTGATTTTGCGGGAGTGGTTCTGCTCCCGCGAAACTTCCGTCTTGTAACATCTTGTGTTTTAAACTTTCAGAGGTCAATAATTATATCAATTGCACTTGTACTGCTTGCACAGAATTTTAGTTAGGTTTTTTGATCATTAATGGGTACAATCACTCATGGCAAATTTGATTGTTTTTTCTAAACTTGATTTAGAGTAAGTATTCTGAACAAATTTTATATTTTCGTTTGTTTTTTGGTGATATTATTAGTACCTACCTACGAAGTAGGTGCATTAATGTCACAAACTTTCATATATTCTTACAACTGTTTCAAATGTGTTTCTACCAAAATGTCAAAAACATCACTTACCTCCATTCCTCATCATCTATGATTTCTTTCACTTGCGAGCGAGGATGGTATATGTTTGTTTTTCTCTATGGATGAGGAATTCTTTAAAAAAGTTTTGCACAATCAATGGTCAAAATTCTGCATCAAGGCTCTGAACAAGGCAAAATTAACGGGAACCGCAGCACTGCAAGATATAATTTCTCATTGAAATGTCACCTGAACACTCTGGCATATAGGGAGAAATTGCTAGAATGAGCCAGAATTGTGCTAGAATGAACTTTTTCCCTCGGCAATTAGAATTTACGTTTCATAATGAATTTTGACACACATTAGAGATATTACCAACCCTCCTTTCAGGATGACTCGTGCATCAAACCTTCATTTTTTTATTGTTACCTACATCAAATTGGTTTCATTTCTTCTTCTTTCTCTAAAAGTGACTGGGCATAGTCCTGCTTGTCGGGCCATCTAGTACCGAGCATATTAAATTCAGACCCTAACTTTACTCTCCCAAAAGAAGAACGTTTATAAAGTTTAAAAATAACTTGTAAACGAAAATAATTCGTGTTTGTATACGATTTAAGTAATGTATTTATATGTCTAGCAAAATGCTGATTCGCAAATCGATATTTAAAAAATTTCCAGATTAATTATTATTACCTTGGAAGGTGTATTAAAAAATCTTATCAATGTAACTGGTTCTCTGAAGCATAATTATCATCTCAAATATTTAAGGATAAGAACATTTTTGTAGTTCTGCTTTTTAGAGACCTTGATAAAGCTGGATAGATTGATTTTTTCATCACTTTAGCCAAGTTATACTGCTGCCATCTGCCATCTCTATTAAGTTTTCCTATTTATATTATGCAAAGAAGACCTTAGTCTTTTCTGTAAAAAAGAACTTGCATCTTCCGAGTATTCTCTTATGCGTATAATAGCATTGTGTATGAACATTTTTATCGTCGTAGATTTTTTATAGACCCATCTGTTTTACTTGTTGTTATTCTTCAAAGAGAAAAATAAAATATTCAATTTACTATCAAGATTCTTTCTATTATCATAATTAGTTTTACTTTCAATCTTTTTATTATCTCATGTCTTTTACCATTAAAAAAATGTTAAATGCTAGGATGAAAACTGGTTCCTTCAAGTCGACTCAGCCCTAAGGCCTTCACATTTTTTTGCGGACAGAACAGGTAATGGACCAAAGCTAACATTGATTAAAAATAAAATGAGGACAGAAATGCTTTTAATAATAAATATATTTATGCATCTTCGATTCAACAAAAATTCGAATAAGATTCATAGCGTATGAATGAAGGCTCATATGTAAAAATAACAGCTGCTGCAATTAAGGTGCATTTCACTTCCTTATTTTTACACATAGAGCCTCAAAACGATATTTAAAGGAAATACAGGAAAAAGAATAATCGAGAGACCTTCTAAAACTGATTAAATTAAAAACTTGATAAAATTGATCACATCTGGATAGATAATGAGACAATATTCACTTATTATGCTGTAATCGATGAAAGGTGAGCTAGCTCCATAACACTGCAGTTAGTGTTCGTTGTAAAAGATGACAATACGTGAGAGCTATTATGTAACGACTGGTGGAACTTCTCTTTGCCAGGAAAGTTGTTCTACTTTGAAAAAATGCAAGAGACTTATTTGAAGAAGGTGGAGGTGAGAGGTGTAATCTTATAATACAAAAAGCACCAATATATTAGGAGTTTAAATTACAGATTGAAAACCAGTCTACCGCCTTTAAACTAATGAATGCAGATCATATCAATGTTAAAAAAATCACATGAAGAAACTTGTGAAATCGGCTTATGACATCTACAGAGAAAAAATCAATTGATTACTGTTACATAAAATAAAAGTAGAGGAATGACAGCATAAACTTGGAAATTCAATGCTTTTTGTGCGATGAGCAACTAGACAAGGTCTAAGTTAGAAGAAAACCTCCCATAGTTCCTCTTCGAACCCTTACATAGAAAACTATTCACACAACAAAAAGCTTGGAAATCAATTCCTGAATGAGATATTAACAAGTCCTTTTAACAGATCAAGTGAAAGTTAAATCATACAAATGACGTCATTAGTATTTTTGCGATTTAAAAGATATTAAATGTAAATACCTATATCTTGTTTAGGAGTTTACTTTCAAACTGCCCATCATGAAATTCGTTTTTCTTGTGAAATTTGGAAGAGATAACAAGTTGTGTGGAGCTTTAACTCATAGCTTGTCTAGTGGCCTATTCATCTCCTACGATGAGATCAAAATGAAAATTATTTTCACCTCCAGAGCATCTTAAATTGTAGCGATGTGTAAAATAAGAGAAATGAATTTTAGAAAACAGAGCGATGCTCATGTTTACCCTCTCTCCCCCTTTCAAAATTTTGCAGGGAAATTTGTTTTTGTTGATTTCATGCCACTATTCCTGTTGAGTTGACAAAAATATTGCGTAGTTTCCGTACAACATTGAAGTATCTAGTTGTTACTTTTAGGGAAAAATAACCTTAGTTTACTCCATAGCTATTAAAGAAGCTCAACCGTTTGCGTAAAAGTGCTCAAAGGAATGATGAAAATATTTCATCTTTCCAGTAAGTTTTCTAGCACTATTTGTTTCACATGAATGTCAAGGAGGCTTTGCATAATCATAATTGTAAAGTAGGCAAATTTAATTGAACATTCTGCATTCGCATTTACAATTCAGAAGAAGAGAGAAAGGCAATACAGTTGTAAATTATATCAGAATTGCAAGTAAATAAAAAGCGTAGTAAAATGAAGGGTTCTAGGACGAAGCAAAGGGGGCACTTCTCCTAAGCGGTAATTAAATGCAGATATAAATTAAAATGAAAAAATAAATGAAAAAGGATAAATCAGATGAATCATGAAGGCATAAGTATTGGAAAACTGAATACTATGCAAAAAAGTTTACTTTTTGAGGGAAAAATGCGAAACACCAAGACTGGCAGAGCTACTCGAATCAACAGTAAGTAACAACTCTATGGAAAAATTAAATGGATTCTTTATGAAGATCTCTCAACATCATTTGGTTATAGACTAGGTATAGTATTCCAAGGTCTTGAATGCATAAAAAACCTATTAGCAAACGAGTGACTGCATGATTCTTCTGAGCACTTACTGATAAAAACACAAACCTCGAAGAACTCAATCTGTGATTTCTCACCTTACATTATTTTAGTTTCAACGCACCAACTAAACATATCTAAATCTAAAAAAAGTCAACAATAAGTATTATGTACAAAAATAGAAGAATTTCTAGGAAAGTTTTAAACTGTTAAAATTGTTGTGGTAGAGAACATTAGGCAAAATGGAACTAAACCAATTGTTAATAAGTAACTGCTCAAAATTAAGCTACTTCGAAGGAAGAGATTGGGGAGAGAATGGCATGGGAATCCCTGAAGTAAAGTGCTGTGGCTGTGTTTTAGAGAGTTCCCAAGTAATACAACATAAAATTGAGCGTTGAATAAAATAGTTTGCTATTAAAAATGTATGCTTTGGTTACTTCGATAATTGATTGATGTCCCATTGTCCACTCAATACCTTGCCTGGGTACTTGGACAAAACGAGCGTTCATAAATATTATGGAAACTGCAATGTTTATCATTGCTGGAATGTCTCATGACACATTCCAATTCACATTGTATCATCTAGATTTAATTCTTAATACTAACTACTCATTGCTGAGCAGCACATATCAAATTATACAAAAAAAAGAAGAAAAAAAAAGTATGCATACTTTGTTTAAAATCTATAAGTAAAATGAGAGAATAATACCTATTGATTAAAGGATTTGAATTTAAGTTAGTTGATAGGGACACTTTCAGTTTAGTCATATCTAAAAAACGGGGGAAAAGAAAAAGAAGGAGAGAAAATGACACAGACAGACTGCAAATCTTAAATAGATCAAAGTCTCGCTTCTACTTCTTAAAGCTGACTACTTATGGGTTAAAAAATTATGGGCTGAGTTTCCCATCAATGGGAGAATCATTCAAACCAATTTTGTTTTTGTATTGTTTGCAGAGGTGCTTGTGTGATTTCTTTTGGTTATTTGCTCCCCTTAAAATCTGATAGAAAGATTATCAAACTAAGATAATAATTATCTATAAAAATGTTCCTTCGAACTGTGCAATTATCTTACTATTATATTCTAAAAGCAGAAACTGGAAAACGCAAGCATGAGATAGGACACAAATTTGCAATGCATGCGTGATTACAATTTTTAAATTTGACTGCAAGGATTTTCTAGAAAACAGATAGTTTTGATTGCTGAGCACATCGATGACCAAGGTGCGAAAACACGTATCTTCGTTTGCAGTATTGCTGACTTCCTGTTATATTTCATTTTTTCTTTGGAAATTTAATTTTTTGAAAAGTTCCTTGACTTTTCCTCTCTGTTAGCAGATTAATTCTTTATGAATTTCAAGCTATAAAGTTGGGTTGTTTTTCTTCAAAAAAATGGAATGAGGGCGTATATTTTGAAACACCCCAACTATGATACGTGGTTTCTCTCTTTGGCCATTGATATGATTATTGATCATAAAAGTGTTTCACAGTGGATGAGGGACACATTCACGCACACCAAAAACTCCAGATTTGAAGATAACAAAATTGCCTTTAGCAGATATTGCACGGATTTGAAGTGATGATCGTTTCACTTACAGTAAAAAAATTGTAAAAAAAGGTAAAAATTCCGAAAGACAATGCAGCAATAGGGCCAGGTACGATATTTACGAATTTAAAACAATCTAAAGTCGTAGAGAGTTGACCGAAAAAATCGATCCACTGACTTGCAAGGCTGTTGCTTGTGATGCGATTAAATGCTGCAGTATCAGTTTGCAGCTGGCGGTGGAGCTGGGGGGAACCTGCCATTCTGGTCCTGAAAGAAGAAAACACAGGATGTGAAAAATCTATCCTTCGGCACATAAATCGGTGTTGGATGGAAATAATGTTTGCACAAACGATAAAAACAAAATACAGGGGTGAAGAGGATTCTCTATCAAGTGACTGGCAGATCACACACTGGAACAGGAAAGCCGCAAAAAGGGCTGAAAATAAGAGGGCTGATTTTTGAGAAATTCACAAAATATCGGAAAAATTGCAGACATTTTTCTTTCAGAAAATAAAACACTGAAAAATTTAAGAAAATGTGTAATTTAAAAAAAAGATGAAGCTAAGAGCTTTCTACTCCCTCTTTAGAGTCTTTTTACCGACAGCAATTTTAAATACTTTTCAAAACCATAAAGAGGCTGGCAAAGAAAGGAGTGAACTAGAATATTTTCAAAACTGAAATGATTTCAAAACTTGAGAGGGAATGGAGCTTCTGAACTTACAGGTTCATCTCTGTGAGGTTTCTGGAGATCATCACGACGATTCCTTAGGGAATTTGGACGCAACATGTACAGCATGAAAGATATGAATAACCACATAACTGTCATCATAACAAAATTATTGGGTTCCGTTGATGTGCTAGCAGTGGTAGATCCTGTAATACTGGGCATGGCTGAAAAAAAAGAACAGGATGAATGATATGATTAAAAATTTATTTTACTTACTTACTCTGTGAAAATTTTTCGTTCATGAAGAAAAGATATTAGATTTTTTATTTATTTCAAAATATTGTAACTACTACAAGAACCATATTGACAGCGAGACTTCTAAAACATGTAGCTCAGTTTCAACGTTGCTGACTTCCTGTCATACTTTCTTTTTTCTTAAATGAAGAGCTACTCAACGTCAATTTTTAAGAACTTCCAGGATTTTCCTTCTCTACACGAAGAAAATTCCAAGTATACTTAAAGGAATGATGTTGATCGTTTCTTCCCTAAAAAATAAAACGGTAACAGCATTTCAAACACTGCAGACAAGATTCATGGTTAAGGAGTTTCACCATACATATTTTCATATGAGCATGTTACATGTCGATGGTTACAGTTTAAAAATGCACACTTCTGATTGCAATGTTGCGAATTTTTATTAATGTTTTATGTTATTGCAAAGAAAGCAAACCAACAATTTTCTTGGGGTTTTTTTGGGAATTCCCTTCCCTTAATAAACAAATTTACAGAAAATTGAAAGACATGTTTTGTTTGATTTCCTTCTACAAATATGAAACATATTCAGGGATTTTCAAACATCGCGAAAAACTTAGGCATTTTCCCTCTTAGGTACGTCGAAGATATTAGATGATTAAAAACAGGAGAAAAAAAGAGAAAAAAGAAGTGAAGGTAATACTTACAATCATCAATACATTCTGTGTCCGTGCAATAGCTTTGTGACTGCCGTAACTGAAATAAAAAAAAATAATGGTTGTTAGTAATGTGAATTTTAACAGTAATACTGTTATATAGGTTTTGTAAAAAATAAGTTTTGTAAGTTTCTGCTCCTGGCTAACAAAATTCGATACTGACATAATCAATTATTAAAATGAATGTTGGTATACAAAAGAAAGATTTAATTTAATAGTTCATTGGAACTCGTAGTAATTAGGAAGTATTTGGGGTTTAATTTTTTTAAGAAAAGGAAATTATAAGACTTCGAAAATAGAAAAACCTAAACAGATAGTTTCATGATGTCTCATGAGATAAGAGGAGCCAAAAGGCATCCATTTGGCATTTTTTTTGACATCATGTTCTTAAAAAGCAAAAAAGAAAAAAACGATTGAATAGAAATAACTTACAAATGACAGTAGCCTTCGCATGGCCAATTCATGGCTGAAGATATATTCACAGGAGTCCATGTTTTCGTCTGCCATTTTTTCTGCAAACAGAAATTCCAAGATAATAAGCAAATGCTGCATTATGTATTAGCAGTCAATAAATATAAAAAAGGAACCATTCAGTTTGAGAAAGGATCAGTGTTTGAAACACATCCCGGCCATACGACAATTGGCCGGTAAGAAATCGCCTTTGTCGCTAAGAAAATAGTTGTTAAACTCTATTTTTGGGATTTTTCGGCGTATTCTTGACTCAAGGCATTTCGAAAGGGCAATTTTTCATTTTGGCCCCTAAGAAAAAAAGTTGCAGGCCAGATGCTTGCTAAGACTTCATGCCGAGTTTCAAACACTAGAAACGATAGATAGCTCACTTGTCACATTTCTGGGGTCATGATTTTTTTCTTTCTAAAGACCTTCCAACTTTTTTACTGACTTATCCATTCAAAGTTGGATGAAAATAAAAGATGATTGAACCTATGTTCTGTATTTGCGTTATCATTCAGGTAGAAAAATTCATGACCCTCCCTTTTAAATGATGCTTTTTTCCGTTAGTATGAATTTTCTGATATAATTTTCGATGTATCTGTTGAATCAGATCTCTTTACATAGATATCAACTAGTTCTAAAGAATCTTGAATGACGAAATTTTCAGTTATCGATGCATGAAATATTGTCAAGGAGTTTAAACGGGTTGGATAGGAATGACAGTATAGCATCAGCCTCCGTCACATACTTATTGTTCCCTTGCAAATAGAGTAACAACAGTCTCTTGATGTCTTGTCAAATTTAGGAGCTCGTTATCTGTTGAGTGCCAAGATCAACATAACCTTCCAGAATAGAACATATTGTTGAATGCCATACTCAGTATCCATTGACGATAGATAAAACTGTTTGAAAAATCAAATCTGACACCTAACTGTCTCTGAGATGAGACTAAGCAAGGGTAAAAGTATTAGACCTAACTTATGTATACTTCAATAATAAATTAGTAAGAGTAGTGTTTGAGATAATTGCCTAAATACAGCTAAGTGTTGCGACTAAAACAAGAAGGAGGATGAAGGAAATTAAGCAAGCCACGTTCCTTTATCAACTGAGCGACAAAACTTCAATCAATTTAACATAAACAATCTTAAAATATGATATTTTCAGACCCGATCAAAGATGGATTGAGTGAGGTAAATCTGAAGTTGCCTTGCCATGGCTGAGAGAGTACTGAGGTTGATTCAGTATGTCTCCTCCATAGTGAATTCTGAATTCAAGATAGATTCAAACATCATGACAGTCGGTTAAAAATGATCAAAATGATTGAAGAAAGATCGTAAAAGAGTTCAAATGGGTCGGACGAAACTGTCAAGAGGGAGAACTTATCCATTTTTTATAACAACTTACATACCTGCTTAACCTATTTAAGGGCAGTGCAGGCGGAAATACGTCCCAGAAGGTGACGAATACAGCGGCAGAGTAATGACTGGTGATAAAACTTGAGATTTAAGGGGAGCACTTATCAAAAAGCTACGATTGAAGCACCTCAAATTTTAGAATCGAATAGAATTTAGCCACGCAAAACAGGGAAAAGAAGATTGCAGAATGTCAACAAATAAAACACAGCCACAGCTGACAGCTTGATAAGAAATCGGCCAGAAGGTCGTTCCGCGTTCATGAAATGGAACGAATAGGAACGTTGAGAGTGGTTACGCCCGCGAAATTTGAAAACGCGCAACTGGTTTCCTTGAGCGCTCCCTGAAATCCTCAAACCTTCACGTTGACCGTAAATCATCGGTGAAGTTTGTTCCTGAGTTTATCAAAGATTTTCAGTATGTATCCATCTTCGTGAATTTCCTCCAAATAATTTCTAATATTGTTTGAATGTGTTTGATTTGGTAATGGTGGCTGTTTTTTATACACGTGACAGATAAAAATAAGCTGACTTCAAATGACTTTCATGTAAAAAATGTTCTCTTAGTGAGGAAAAAACACCACATGGTGCATATTTACAGGTGTAAATTTTATAATCTGAGCATTTAAAAAGAAATTCATATTAATTGTGGAGAATGATTCACGGCACTGCTTTTCTTACGGGTATAAAGTGTTTTTTCATACGTTTCACATGTATTCCTAGTTATTTTTCACGTAAAAAATGGCTCAAACATCAAATGCGGTGTTATTGAATTACCGATGCCTGACCAAAGAAAAGTTTTTGACGATAAAGTTAGCTCGTTAGTTAGGTAGTAAAATAGGTTTAACGGTTCAAACTGCCAAGTTAAAAATTTTTCGATGAACGGTCACATTTTCTTTTAAGGAGTTGTATGAGAGAGGGAGAGAGAGATACCGAAAAAAATTAAAGTGGCCCCTATTCGGTGGACTTCGAAATTTCACAGTAAATAGTTATCATAGTTATGTAAAGCGTAGTTATATAAAATGAAACTTCAAGAAGAGACAAGCCTTCGGTAAAAGTTGTGGCTTGCATGAAGCTACTTAGGACGAAACAGAAATGCGAAGTTTACCTATACATTGTGCAGAAATAAATATACTTTATGCCATAGTTTGGACGGCAAAACTAGGAAATCTCGTGTTATTCTGCTTGTGATACGACTACTCCTTTCAGTCACATTTCATTTTTACGAAAAAGCGTTTCTGTTCAAAATTCCGTGGGGTAAATAAGCTATGTTTGATGAAATTTTGCTCTTAAACATTAAAAGAATTTTTTTTTTCCAAAAAAAGAATTATTTTTCCAGAGAAAGGACGACTTTACAAACAATGCCGAGACACCTTAATATGTAGGAATTTTTTGGACTAGCAACTTTGTAATACATTAAAATAATCAATGCATTTTTCGGAAAATTGACAATGACGCGATTACAATCGATAATAGTTTACTTCATCGGCACAGTAGGAAATGAAGGGAATTAAGTCAAAGATCAAAAGAAACAAGCAAAATGCTTCAGTTAGAGTTAGTGTCGCATGTGACCGACTACAAACGATTTCCATCATAACGGCTGGATAAGTGGATACAACTATTCGGCCTTCTCGGATGTCCGTGTTGCATACAGACGGAAAAGAAGGCGTTTTGAATCTCCAGGCATTCACCGCTTCACCTGCGGCGCGTTGCAATGACTGGCAGTACTGCGAGAATGCAAAAAAGATAGAACGCTTTAGAAATCCCTGGTAAAAATTGGCGGTAGAATCTGTGTTCCAAAATACCATAGACCTACAGCCGCCTGTAAGATTTCCAATAGCTTCTATAGCCGGCAACACAATCTCTTATTGCCATTTATAGCCGATGGCGATTAAGCAACAGCCTGGCGATAAAGTGTATGCTAAACGTTACTAATTACGGATGCTAGGACTTAGTGAGTTTTTGGACTACCGCTCTCTTTTTGGGCCGTAGTATCTTGATTTATTTTGCGAGGAAAGCTCCGTACTTTTGAAGGATGCCTGTCATTCCTAATATATTGGAGCGCCTTCAATTTCGTATGATACTGTGCAATAGCTCTGGTGTGAAATAGTTGCTTCAAGCGCCGTGGTACGCTGCGGCGCAGCACGGCGGGCGGGCAGCCAGCGCTGAACGCGCATTGGTGCCTACAAACCTAACAGGGATACTTCACGCGTTGCGCAATGCGTGAGGTATCCCTGTTAGGTTTGTAGGCGCCAGTGCGCTGCCGCTCCGCTTTGTGTTTTGCTCTAATATTTAATCTCGCGGAGTCAGCGTTTTTCAACTCATGAATTTGAAATGTTTGCACACTCTGTATGGATTATTCTCATTTTAATTGATGAAAAAAAAAATATGTAGTAAAGGAAAATATAATTCGTAAACATTAAGATGAGTCCGTACAAACTTGAGGATTTACAAAGCACAAACATTTCTACACAATTTCTTATAGCCTTTTATAGCCGTTGGTGAAAAAGCAACAGCCAGGCGATAAAGTGTAAAACCCGGCGATAGGAACTAGAGCCCGGCTGTATAATTTTTTATCGCTTCGTGTAGCCCAGCCGTATGATTTTTTCCCCTTTCTACAGCCAGCTACATGATTTTCTATCGCCCTCTTCAGTCGGCTATAAGAACTCCTATGGTATTTTAAACGCAGCTCCTATCGCCAATTTTCACCAGGGTGAGTTCAACAAAAATACCCTGAGTCGCATCGAGTTTGAGTGGTTTGACGTTTCGTCTTCTATTGGAACTCAGTATTAAGGACAAAGTATAATATTTTTTCTCTCTTTTTTTTTCTTTCTTTCTTTTCAATTTTAAAAGTATATTTTTTCGACTATGAATTTATGACAGGAAAAAATGTATGAATCCAAAATTAATTGTATCTTTTTTCCAAAAGTGAATTTCGGAGCCTTTTCCGCATACTTTTTCTAACTGATACCGGCAGTTGTATGCGTCCATTCCCCAAAATTTTGCAAATGTAGCATTTTTACGTTATCGGAACTTAGATTATTTTTTAATGCGTATATTTAATAGTTTTTTTTTTTTAAAAGAACAATTCTCTCTCCGCCCTCTAAATTTTTTTAACAGTTAATGCTAGTAGGTTGGTTGAAATACGAGAAACTTTTGAAAAGATACAATTCGAAGCACGAGTGCTTCGGAGTCAAACATCCAGCATAGGGAAACACAGTATGTGCATAAGCTGCGATGATTCCGTTCCAAATTCCCGTTCTGCGGTTCACATTCCGTCGTTCCCGGGCCTCGCCGAGCGGCTGCGCATACGGCCTTTTCGCACGGCAGACTTGTTACGCTGTGATTGGTCGGCCGTCGAGCGGACCGCGCGCTCGAAGGTGTCGCGATGTTCGCGGATAATTGCCAAATTTCGCGCTATTTTGTCAAATTCCGCACCATTTTGCAGTTTGAAACTTCAAATTCTTTGCCAATGGCAGCAACGCTGACAGATGTGAAGTTTTAGCGCGGTCACGCTTGAAACGCTTGACTGACTCCGAAGCGCACCGCGCAAGAATAGCGTAACTGCAGTATAAATATTATGCATTCATACGCGGTTTTTACTCGGAGGTGCAGTTCTCCCACCGGTGCGAGTAATCACCGTCCGAGGACCGTCCTTCCATTATGCAATTCAGTCTTTAGGGTTTTTGACCCCCCTCCCCCCTTCTAGCTCGCTAACGCTATTTAGTCGTAATAGGACCGTTTATTTGAAGAAGAGCATATTACAGAGCGTCAAGTTCTCAGGAGACAGAAATAAACTTAACGTATTAAAAACTTCTTAAGATATTTCGATCGCAAAGATTAAGCAGTAGATATTTTAGAGACTAGCCGTAATAAGATAGCGGTCGCACAGCGCACACACGGAAATTGAGAAATGGGGCAAGCAATGCAAATTTTTGAAATTTTCGGGGGATGCTCCTTTTTACTACAGAGCTGCTGGTATCAGTTGGATCGACTTTAAGAAAGACGCTTACTACCAAATCGCCGTTTTGGAAAACTAAGTAAATAGTTTTGAATTCAATTAGTCGTAAATTTTCTACTGTCCAAAAGTTGAAGTCGTGAAAAATTATCTCGAGACTTAAAAAATAAGTTAAACATTGTCCTTAATACTATGAGTCTTATCAAAGAACAAAACTTCAAACCACCTTTTCTCATCTCAAACTCGATGCGACTCGTGGTGTTTTTGTTGAATTCAGTCCAGTTGTATTGTCATTTTTGCGGTGTTTTTATTAGAGTCAACTAGCATGCATTTTCAACGTCTAAATAAAGAAAAACCTGATTAGAAACATTCACATGATTTTTCTTAACGCCTCACTTGGGATTTTTGGCGAGAAACTTTAGAACCAAATGCCTTTGAATACTGTGTCACCGATTCGTCCTTTATGAACTTTTTTTTTTATGTTCCAGTTTGATGGTTCGTAAGCAATCAGTAACGCGAGACATTTTCCCTGCAAACTCAGGGTCCTGTCTCGCCGCTGGATTTTGAACGGATCCTAGCTTCATTTAAACGGACTCAACATCTCTTCCGAAAACAAATAATTTTGGAAGCACGCTCGAGTACGCTTTTTTTCTGGAGTATTCATGAAACGATTCTGCTGCATTCTTCATTATTAGGCCGGTGAATGCGGGGGTGGTAGGTCACATTTTAGAAGGAAATGTTGCGAAGAATTGACGCATTTTTCGGAAAATTGACAAGGTCGCGTTAAAAATCGGTAATAGTTTACCTCATGAGCACAGGAGGCAACCCGGGAATTGAGTGAAGGTCTTAAATGAAAGGACCGAGCAAAGTATTCTCAGTAGGTTTCGCATCGCATGCGACAAGCACACAGCGAATTTCATTATAGCGCCTGGATACAACTATTCGGCCTCCACGGATGTCTGTGTTGCATAAGCTCTGGATTGAAGGCGTTTCGACTTTCCTTGCATTCGCCGTTATGCCTGCGGCACGGCGCAATGGTTGTCGGTGTTTCGGAGAAAGATAGAAGACAGAGAGCGCCTTAAATTTTTCGTTTATACATATACTACAAGGACATCGCAGAGACACGAATAGTTACTCTAAAGATCCTCAGTGTATTGCAATGTCAAAACCAAAACACAAAAATACGTAGCTCCTTCGTCTGGGTGCATTTCTTCGTGCTCGAGAGATATCTTTTTAATCAGTGACGTGGCGTGAATTGCGATGTATCGATTGTTATG